GGAAGAAAGTGGAAGTTAAACATTAAAATGTTACAGCACCTAACCGACCCGAATACAAGCTAATAAACGTGATCTATTTGGACACGTTTGTATTGTGTAGTTGACTAATGCAATATGAGTTACCAAAATATTTTGTCGGCGTAAATTGAACAAAAAAAAAAAAAAAACATAAAGGTTTCAACACCATTTGATTAAGTCCGCTAGTTCCATGCGTGTAAATTAAACATTTTGATAAAACACAAATACCGCATTAACTGTGTAAATGTATTGTGGTCTGTCCTTTATCCGCTAGGACCACGGAAATTAGTAGCCTGATTTACTTAATATGTCGTAACAAAAACTAGTTTATTGCCAGACAAAAGGACACAGTATTACTCTATTGTTAGGCTCGGTCACAGATGTTGTAGGAAATTAACCTTTTTATAATAACGAAAAGATACCAAAATGTTATTTAATTTATTTAAAGGTAGCTATGTATATTTTACAAAATGGGGGGGGGGTTAAGAAATCAAAATTTCAAAAGTTCGAAAATAAGGACCACCCTAATGCACAATCATCTTTTCTCTTCTAAATAAAATAATACTTAATGACATGTCATGTAAAATTGAGCACCACATTACTTTTTAAATGTTAAGCAAGTAGGAAGTTAAAAAAATTAAAGCAACCTACATAAAACAAACTTTGGAGAGAATAGCAATTAAGTCTTTTCAATTTGCAATGAAATTTAAGGCAAGTGGCACGGAAATCCATTAAATGTCATTCCCCAAAAAAAAGTCATACTATCACTTTCTGATCCGTTCGGTTAAAGAGACAGCATTATGAGAGACAACTTAATGCATTAGCATGAAAGCTTAGGTTTTAATATCTAAGTAGAAAGATGCGCCCACGTTTTTCTAGTTCACCTGTCCTATTTGGTTATCAAGATCCCCGGAGGGTTATTTTATACTTTTGAAGGCGCATAAAAATGTTATTTTTAGATTAATTTTTTAATCTACTTTATTTTAAAACTAACGTGACGTTATTCTCCGAATAAAGAATTTTTTTTTATTCTAAAAAAATGTATTCATGATGTAAAAAAAATACATATTTATTCAGAATTTGTTTATTAGTCTATATAAATCATATACATTTATCTAATAATTTAAAATAAAAAAAACATTCATGTATATGAATGGTGTAATATTGAATATAAAATATAATACAATGGAAATAACCCACAGTAGAAAGGTTTATATATGTAATGCTTGTTAACACATAACAAAAAAAAGTTGCAATTATCGCACTATCAGAAAATCAGTGTGGCATCTCAAAAATTGTCGACAAATAAACAAATTAAACACATTATTTTACCATATAATTATATGATAAATAAAACCTTTGAACGCGACTATCTCGAAAAAGGGTTATTTTAGTTAACAGGCTAATTATCTGATAGTGCGTTATGTTGTTTTATATATTAATACATTGAGTTTAAAAATTAATCGTTAATTATTGTGCATAATAAAGTACATATTCTGTAAGAATTGGCTTTGAAAAAAAACGGAAAATTAAGGTTCATAATGTTGTTTTGCAGGTGAAATAAAATCATACAGGGTTTATGAGTCGTAAAAAACACATATAACGCTAAAAACAATTTCCCGGAAGTATAACACATTTACACCTTTGAACATTTTGTAAGGCAACGCTTTCCATGGACGTCTGGTGGTTGTAAGTCAGTTGAAAACATAATTTAGAAAAAAACCCTAACGGGAAATCGCTCGGCATTCAACCTTAATAACATGTAATATTTTATAATTTTAATTTTTAGCTCCTTGCCGTCGTTAGGAGCTATAGAAATACTTTAGAAATGGTTTAAAACACAATATTTTACATCCAAAAGCTTTCTTAGTATCGCATTTCTACACAGCCATAGACGCAGCTGGTAAAAGGGATTAAAGCACTAGCGTATTCTCTCTAATTAAAAATGTTTCCGTGTTTCTCGATAATAAATTGGGTATTTTTTCTTTCGACGAATTGTAACGTATAAACATTTTTTTTTTTAATACCTTTTATAATACGTTTATTGGACATCTGACGTATACACGTCTTACTTTAGACTGAATACAATATTACCGGTACACACGGGACACATGTGTTATCGTTTGGCGGGTAATTGTAGATGGACGACAGTAGTGAAAATCAATCGGAAAGAGTGCAACGGAAAATAAATACACACGGTATAAAATAAAAATAATAACAATAATATGATCTGTATGTATAAAGTGTACGGGCGGCGTGCAAGGCTGTACAAATCGATCACGTTTTATTGGGGTTATTTTATTTTTACTGGCCGGCCGAATGTTTTTGTTACATTGTAGAGACGGCCGGCGGCATTTGGCTGGTTATTTACCTTGTTGCGTTCGCTGTAAAGCTTTTTATCGGCGCTGGGTTAAAATAATCTACAAACCCCGTTTCACTACGACTAGAACTCCGATATATTATTATAATATTAAATATTGCTCCACGTTAATAAGATGCACATTAGCTATACATGTAGATTTATTATGTTAACAATAATTGTAAGACCCGTTCTTTTCTTATTGCATAATATATTTACTGAATTTATTATATTTTTGGACGAGTTACGAGGGAATTATTCAAAATTGTTTTTCTGACAACATTTTTTATACTTGCAATTGGTATTGCACGGTTCGATAAATCTCAGTAGCTTGTAATCTGAAATTTGAATATACCGTAACACGATTTTTTTGTCCAATCCTTATGCATAATATTAATAATGTAGTGGATGCTCGGCCGTATTAAATGGATCATCGACCAGGAATAAATAAACAGGTGAGGGAGTGGAGATCAGACGAGAGAAAATAACGAGCCCGAGATTGCACGCCGGGGCGTAGCAAAATTGCCTAACCGAGACGCCGTCTCGTCATTATTATAATAATATTAATTTGACTTTTGGGTATTCATTATGAAACGTTTTTTTTTTAAGGCGTTAGAAATTAATGGAAACGCCTTAATATTCGACAACATTTTTTTTATTATTATTGCGGTTAACGCAAAAATAAAACGATATAGTAATAATGATTGATAAAAAATAATTAACGCCGGAACAATATAATAATTTATGCGAATATGTTTTTTTCCCGTTACGTTTTTTTTTTAATGTTTTCCGCTCAGAAACGCGTTGTCTGTGTCGACTAAGCGATTTTTTTTTTTAGAAATATTAAACTAGACGAACAATCTGCCGCTGCTGTTATTGTTGTCATTGCTGTTGTATAATAGCTTTACGCGTTATGGTAATTCGTCTTTATTACAAACGCTGTTTCCTGAATAAAAAAAAAAAAAACGACAATCAGAAAGGCACACTGCTGCCGTAGCCGTACCATCGGTATAGCTCTTTGGTTATGGTAAAATAAAAAGTTTAATTCGTTTTTATTTTGTTTACTGAAAGCGCGGATGCAAAACGGTACGGACGTTTTACGACTTAAGTAATTGTGTTAGGCGAGCTGCTGAAAATCTGAAATATTATGTTTACAAAACGTCATGCCTATATACTATATACAAACTGCTGACACGATTTTATGTTATTGTGTTTGAGGTAGTCACAGTTTGTGTACTTTGTTATTCTAGCTAAGTTATCATGCGGTTTATGTGACAATATCATAGTATACGATTATTACATATAGAAAAGAATCATGTTTTTTTTAATATATATAATTTGTTTGGCATAAAATTGTTGCATCGGGTTACGGTACGAAAATGTCTTCCTCCGATCTTTGCCGGCGCAAAGATTACAACTTTTTTAAGTGTAAATTAATGGCTGCCCAACAAAATAATATGACCTCCGACGGCTATTATATTGTATAGAGTGCACGGGTTGTCAAACTTTTAAGTAGAAATACTACGAGAGAGAGAGAATAATATGCGGTTAGCTGTCATGAGTTTCCGGGCACAGAATCGTAAAAAAGTGTAAAAAAAGTCAAGAGGAAAAGCAAGCAACGAAAAATTAGTTTTATGGTCCAAGTACTAAATTCAATTGTATTGACACCACCGTGGGGTTTTGGTGTTATTGGCATTTCGTCGAAAAATAACCCTACTTAGAATATAGAATACACTGCAAAAGAGCACAGGTAAATACCAGCGGAGTGCGCTTTACCGGAAACGAACCCGAGATATTTCAAAAGCCTTTTAACTCGAACGGTTTATTTATTACACAAGGAGCTCTGATGGTCGAATGCATACTTTGAAGTGTGAATACTTGGTTTGCAAATAACTCTAGTATAATTATTAAATATATAGAACATATTATATCGAAACATTCAGTGTTACCTAGTAATATTTGATTTCCTGACAAAATATGATGTAAAAATATTTTGACATTTATTATTTATTATTTTTTAAAAGTATATTATTGCAGTACGGTTTTAAAATGTAGTTTCCGCGATACGAGAAAATGTATACAGGGCATCTCACCGATATTTCAAGTAGCGAATCTTGACACCGAGATGCATAAAAATGTATCTACCATTTTCTCGTAATTCGTTTTGAACGATTACTTAACGATTTGTCAACTATAAAAGTTAAAAACCTAATTATTTAAACAGTGGTCCTGCCAAATTTCACGTCCGTATTATGTCTGAAACCACACAATACGTTTTAGATTCGTGTTAGATATTTGGAAATATTGGTTGAAAGTTACAATTCACCACCCGACCTACCAAGCTAACAGAAAAGCTCTAAAACAACTGACAGATACATTTTTATTTTTATTTATACATAAGAGGAAACACGAATTGTGCACACTATTGTAATAGTTATTTTAAGTATAACAGTATAATACCATAGTGTATAATAACAATTGTATGTGTAAATGTTTTCAAAGGTTCACATCGAGACTTTCACTTCCGAAACGACTACTACGCGTGTCTCTGGAGTACTCGCCAAATCCCAAGCTATCTTTTTCTTTCTTATTTTTACTATTTTTTATTTCTTTTTGACTGTACCTTTGAACGCCGCAAACGATATCTGTAGGCTTCAGCACCAACACGAACGTGATCAGATAACACAAGAGTATGCCTGACAGAAGCACGTACGATACTTCCCTGCCGGTGGCCTTGACGATGGGCGTGTGGTTATGCTTGACGAACACGGTCACCACCAACAACGTGACGACCACTCCAATCGCCGACAAAGTCATGGCACCGATGGCCCAGCTACTTCCGATCCGCAAAAACACTTCCGGTATGTCCAAACACTGCTCTCGGTTGGCGTCTGGCAGCGTGCCCTGGGGACACGGCATACATGTCCGCTCGTCCGTTGGCGACCGGATCTAAATCAGACGATAGTTAGTAGTATGACGTGCCATTTACCTATGATATAAACAGACACGAAGTCGTCTCCTACAGATTTTTAACTTTGCAAAACTAAATACCTATTTTTAATACTCATATATTTTTTAAACGTTTAAAAAATAATTTTTTATGTTATTGTTAACAAAAAAAATTGAAGTTCTCGTTACAGAATACTGTAATTATTAAACTAAAGTTTTACCTATACAATATTAGTATCGTAATACAGTAATTACGTGTTTCGATGTCCATTAACCATTAAACATTCTACTTTTAAAAAGAAAATTGAACAGTGGTATTTGGACACTTTCTGTTACAGGCTAAAAATATTCGACTCCCATCTTTCTCCACTCCATTTCCGTGGTTTAAATATTTACTCTTATTTTGATCCTATCTTGTAGAATCTTCGAGTTACCCAGGTTTTAAAATATTTAATGTTTTACAACTAACATAATAATATTTTTAAAAACTTGACTTACGTCAATTAAATGATTCAGTTTGAACATGCTAAAATTATAAACGTGTTAAATATTTCATGGATTGAACTATTAGTTTGATCATTTTTGAACCTATCATTGTTGTTGTTAGCTGACGTTTCGAACCCATTGTAGGGTCCAAACAATATAAACAGCTGTCAAAATAAATGAAAATTGCATTTTTACAAAGGGAACAGCAAAAGAATGCCAAAAAGAGCACAACAGACACAAACTGTGAAAAGAACAAAACAAAGTAAACCACATATAAGGCATTACAACACCACTTGGTCGAGAAAACACGGCTGCAAAAACGGACATGTACATTGTACATATTGGTAGAAAGAAACAAGCGTTGAGTAGCAGTATAAATAAGTATAGTCACGACAATGTAACTATGACTATCTCTATGAAAATTGACCCTACAATGGGTTTAAAACGTCACTTAACTAATGATAACATAGATGGATCCGAAAATGATCAAACTAATGCTAAGGTCAAGTACATATAATATAAAAAAAAGAAATTGAAAAATTATACATGTTTATAATTATTAAAACGTTTTATAAATACTAGTTTTTACAAGTTTTGTACAGATAGTCAATATGAACATTTATTATTATTTAATTATAAGGAATGATTTATTTATAACGCGATGGCCGCTGGATAATGAAAATTGATTGTTACGATTTCCTTTAGTAATTGAACATAATAAATGGTACGATTACCTTTTTCTAAAGATGGGTGAGGGGGGAAAGAGTGATAATAAGAAATATTTTATGTATTTAAGGGCTCGGACTTCAAGAAAAAGATATCTGCAGGTTCGTTTGACGATTTATTGTGTTGTACAACAAACGTTTACATCTCACTTATGAAGACCTAATGCCCTATATAATAATTAACAAGGACTGAATATCTGAGAATACACATTCATGTACACGTGGGTTCGACAAAATAACATTTCCCAGCTACCACAACTCTTTTTGAGATTTAAGACACGATTAAAAACATGGCTACTGTTTATTTATCAACACTGTATAACTTTTGGCTTAATTTGAATTGATTATATCATTATGTTAATATAAACTGTAGAAACTCTTATGAAATTGTGGCTTTTCGCAAAATATATGGTAGTGTAACGGCAGTTTGGTTTACTATCGCACACCTTGAGAAATTACACGATACAAAAGCCAGCCTGTGTATGGAAAGCGGGATAAACACCAGGGTTGCTCACGATAATATCATAAAAGAGTTTCGCCACATTGAATTCACGTTTACCGCCCAATTGGTTGTTGTTCGAATACGGCAGGAGCCCTAGGGTCGAAACGGACAAAAGAGGAAACACACTTAAATATCTAACGAATTCGCTATTCGAGTCGATTGAACTCTGAACCCGTTTTTATTATACAATAACTCACGGGTTATATGCTCCAACAGGGCACATTAAAATATATGTTGATACACTGTGGCGCCTGTTGTCCGGTTGTAAAAGCCGATTGGCCGTTAAAAATTCGACATTACTCATAAAAATAATAATTGCCATTATGTTGTTAGGTAAAAAACAGTGTACCAGCGCTTCGTTATGATAATGCGATAAACGAGTTGGATAGTTACTGAAAACAACTAAATGCAAAATAAAGATATATCCGAAGTGTGGAATTGTTTTTTTTTTTTTCAATTTGTTTTGCAAAAAACACTAAAACTCGTCCATAGATCAAGAGGTGTTTGCAGAAGCTACACAGGCGAGTAAAACATACATTTGTTTAGGTGTTTCAGGTCGTTGAGTTCGACGAGCCAATGAGTATGGTATTTTAGGGAAACCCTTATACGCGTCTCTAGCTGAGGTTATTTTGGTTCAATAGTCGTCGAATGTCTTCGATGTAATAAATTGCCAGGAAACTCTATTTTGACCAGAACCTTTTTTGATAATAGCCGTATTATGATAAACCGAAACGTCAAATCTGAAATTTATGTTTAAACATTAGCTCTAAGAAAATAGCCATTATTTAAAAAATCCCGAATAATATATTCACAACACATTGCATAAGGTAAACCCGTTTTTAACCGATCTCGGGATAAAAAAGATTAAAGAATTGTTTTTATCTAATGGGGTATAGAATAGGGTCAGTAGGTTAAAAGCACTACCCGACCGAAAAAATAAATATTAAGCGGACGCCACACCACCCATTTATTAAATAGTAAAATATATGCCATTTTTTGTATTAATATAGTAATGGTTATTACTGTGTTATTTATTGGTTGTTATTTCTTCTATCAGATTATCACATTAGTTTTTATAGAAAAATATTACAATTTGTTTTCCATCCAAACTACTTTGCGCGGGACAAACTTATAACTTCCCAGTAGATTTACCAAATTTTCTTAGCACATAGAAAATAACTATATTTGTATCGTAGCGTTTTTATTTTTCGATATCAATGAATTTTAATTGAATACTTAACTTGGTAAATAAAATTTAACACAAAATATAGGTACCGTTTTAATTGTTTATAACAATATATATATTTGTTATCGTGGTATAGGTATGCTTTCATGTTGCACATGATGTTAATAATATAATCATTAATCTCACCTGGTATTGGGTGCAGTTGTAACAGTGCCAACAGCATTTCTCGCCCTCCAGATACTGTTTCGCTTGTCCTCTCTGGCACGGTAGACTGCAAACAGATTCGGGTGGTTTCGACAATTCGGTTTTGAAGCGCAATTCTGGATAACAAAAACATTGCAATAGTAACGTTAGTCACAACGTTAAAATGAAAAATACCACCAATCTTTGAAGTATTAATAGTAATCGAAGTTAATTAAAATAATTGAAATATCCAATTTTCTTTGTAGAACAGAAGAAACAGCCAATAACATTTTCAGAGAAAAGCTATTTTTATGTTATTTACCAGAGATGTTTAACTGGAATCGTACAACGTAATCGTTACCATAGTTTGCTTTAAAAAAAATAAGTCGATTTATCGAATTCGTTTACTTAGAAAAAAAGAATGTGAATAACAATTTGTTTTTGTATTCATCAAGCGTTCGACAATTACGCAGAACCGACAATAACGGGATAAAGAAACCCATTTTTGCCGACAATGTTATAATGTGAAGACCTTTTAGTTTATAGTCGACGGAAGTGCGTCCAATGAGACTCAGCATCATTGTCACGTCTCTTCAATTGAAGATCTTAAGTCGTTAATATCCGCATAATAGTATGCGATTAACTCCTTGTGCGTGAATCATATACACAATGATCATTAATACTAATACCAAGTCGGCATGCTGACACACTTTTGTGTAAGGTACTGTTTGGAATTCATAAGCCTATTAAAGACTATAATTTCAAAAATCAAAAGATAAAACGTGTAAAATAAATAAAAATATATAATTGTTTTTAAATACATTTTATTAATAAAAACCACTTTCCTAAACAAATATTATTTAATCGAAGATTAGAAAAATAATAAGAAAATTGTTAAGTATTTTATTTTATATTTTTAATATTTCTTCGCTTTCATTACTTCATCAAAACTTATTCTCTCCACCCACATTCTGTTTTTCTTCTACACATTGCTACGTTATGTCTTTATTCATAACATCAATCCAATTTTGTTCAGGTCTCTTTTTACTTTTATGTAATTTAACTTGCTAATCTCTCTTACACATTTCCACAAACTTTTTTTTATGTGTAAAATGTTTATCTGATCCTGGAAGTTATTTAATTTTAGTTTTTTAGAGTAAAATGTGAATTTGCCGTGAACTTATCTGGAGGCTTGGTTCAAACTTTTTTGTTCTTCTTTTTACCATGCTATCCGATAAGGATGTTGCTAATCATTACCATTTCCAGAATTAGTGACTATTTAATGGTATGACGTTCTATATCAATTAGTTAAAAAAAACTCCATAGCTATTGTTGTTCGGTACACTGTTGGATATTTTGCAACTAAGACAGACTGGTCTTCTTTCGGGCCTTCAACGTTCTTCAATTTTTCCTATCATAATCGGCTGTAAGAGGCTGTTCTTAAGGCCACGTAGGAAATTTCCAAAAAAATTCAAATTTTCTACTATAACGATGAAAACACCCATGAGATACGTTATTTCGTGACGTTTCATGCACTTTAATATAAGCATATAATTGTTCAATGACATCATCTACACTGTTGGCGCATACGCCTGGATTATAATAATATTGACGGGATTTGCAAGTACTTGAAGTAATAACACACGATCTGAATATGGCACAAATTCTCTAAAATTTGAATTTCATGTTCCGTGTACTATAATGCAACTCCTCTTTGATTTCTCCCTTATCTATCTCCTGAATAGTGGATCATATATTAGCTGATTAAAATTTTTTATTCCAGGTCAACGTACTCACTTAACTTTATCCTATATTTATTCATCGTTCGGGTATAGTATGTTGAAATATTATAAATTTCTGTAATGCGAGTTTTACTTCCGGATATTCTTAGAATATCTACCCTGTCTTTTGAGGACAAGTCCAACATGTTGGAATAACTCGCATTGAGATTTCCACCATCAACATATTTTAAGTTGAGTTTTAGTTTTCTACGCCATGCAGGCCTGCAGGTTTTAGTGTATTTTGTGTGAACAGTGTGTTCCTCGCTAACAACTTTTACCAAAAGGGGTAAACCATCTTCATTCCATTTATTTTTCTCTGCTATTGACCCAAATCGCAAAATTTAAGAGACGACCTTACATAAAGTACTTTAAATAGTAGTTAATCAACCATTGTCTCAGCATAGCAGTTATTATATAATACTTTTAGCTATTATAATTCGCATGGATGCGCTACTAAATTTATGAATATAAACTAAATGCATGTTTACATTAAAAAAACAATATAATGTTTTTTTTTCTCAGTGCCTCTAAAGTTCAAACCAAGTATGATTATATATATATGGCGGCGGACTATGTAAACGAAAAATTAATTAAGTAGTTCATTTCCATAAGTCGTGTACGGCTTATATGCAAAATAAATTATACAATCGATGTGTATTGCAAGCAAACGTCATCTGTTGATGTATAATTATAATATCCTGGTAGAAATTTGCATTTATATCCATCTATGTTTTTCTCGGTGAACGTCCGAGTTAATTTAAAACAAGACCATAATGTTTAAACAACGTTATAGTTTAGTACTACAATTCGTTTAAGCAATCCTATGTTTAATTTTACATCGCCCTCACATTTGTTTTCCGGTTAAATGTATGTATAGGTTAATGTTTGATTAAACGTTCGAAGTCAAGGCAAAACTTAAAACAAAACGAAATGAACACTAAATTAATAAACTAAAATAGATAAAACAAATTAAGTCAAAATCAATATACCAACAACTTTTACGCTTAACTTTCTACGCTGTTGAAATTACATCAACTCTTTTAAGTTATACTTTATTCAAGTGCGTTAAAAGGGTTTTGAATGATTAATTAATTTATTGAACACCCTGAATGTAAATATATACAATTGGAAATTGGCTCACCGAATAAATGTACAGTATTCAAAAACGACTCCTTGATGTTTATTTTACAAACTTTTCCATACACTAAAAAAACTTAATTGCGAATTTTATTTATTGTATTTTTTTTTGAAGGTGTTAAAGTTACGAAAAGACCGACTCAAGTTCTTTTGTAGAATACTAAATACGGCGCACGATCCAGGTTGGGCTTAAAGTTTTTCATTACCGGCTTTGACATGAAGATTAAGTAGTAAAAATTAAAAGTTTTATAATTAAATTCAACGCAAGACGCCATCTAATCCCCACGAGAACTTACATTTTTAACGAAACGAATATAATATTAGTATACCTATACGATGAAGGTATTAGACTACAAGTCAAGGCGGTAGGTCTATTAGCTTATACAGACGACATAGTATTGATGGAAGAATCTCAAGATAGGTTGAAGATATTATTCAGTAGACTGTATAAAGCAGCATCAAAAGTAGGACTATACGTAAACGAAGAAAAAACGGAGTATATGTTTTTGAGTAGACGAGGGCTACCGTTTTGTCAGTCCATAAAGATAGATCACTATGAATTTAAAAGGGTTGAACAGTTCAAATACCTCGGTACTATTTTGACTGAAAAAAATAATGTAGCAAACGAGGTAGCAGCGAGAATACAAGCTGGGAATAAATGTTATTATGGACTTAACAAGGTACTAATTTCATGAGCAATATCGCGAAGAATGAAAGAGCAATTATATACGTCCCTGATACGACCGGTTATATTGTATGGATTAGAACATTGCCACTTAGAAAAATTAACGAAAACAGATTCATTGTCTTTGAAAGAAAAGTGTTGCGGAAAATGTATGGCCCAGTCAAGGACGAAATAACCGGGGAGTGGAGACGAAGAAAGAATATAGAGCCGGAAACATTATATAGTGGTTCGGATGTATTGAAGGTTATCAAAAGAAGAAGACTACGGTGGGCTGGCCATGCTTGGAGGAACCGAAATCCGCTACTACGTGGAGTGATTGAACAAAATCCTGTAGGTAAAAGACTTTTGGGAAGACCAAGAATGCGCTGGGAAGATGTTGAACAGATGGGAGGTGGTTCCAATTGGAGAAATCTAGCGTTGGACAGAGAAGGATGGAAGCTTGGTTGTGAGACGGGATGGTCTTAAAGGCCCAATAAACCCAAGAAGAAGATACCTATACGAGATATCGCTAGAGACATACTATATCACATTGCACTGTACAAATCTGATATTATGTTTTTGTAAGAGTTTCTTTAATACATATTTAAATAACATAGCGGAAAGCGGTGAAATATGTATATTTAACTGTACGTTTTTTGAAAGCTAATGTGCTGAAACGTTGAAAACTTTATTCTATCATCTAGTAATGTAAATTTCTGTGCATTATTTATCATATAAAAATGGATAGTCCACTGTTATACAAATTTCCATAAATAAAATGCAGAGAATCTAAAAAAAATCATCTTAATTTATATCTCATAATGCGGTGGATATACAATTAGTAATTTATGGTTTTTTATTACATCAAACCAATTTTGAATTGTATAACTGTACATAGGCAAGTTTTGGAATGCATCTTTTAGTCGATTAATTTCTCATTGTCAATATTCCAAAATAAACGCACTTATTTTCTATCTGTGCGATAAGCTGAATCTGAGAAAGTATGAAATATAAGCTTATTTAAAACATAAAGGCTCGATTTTTTTGGAGGACTGGTAAATTTCTGTCACAAAGCTATTTACCATTCAAACTCTGGCATTGGATATTATGTTATTGAGCGTGACATAACGATCGAATTCATCACACCAAAAACTCGAGCAAATTAAGGAAGTTTAGGATGGCCGAGTAAGTTTTGATGTTTAGACATAAGTAAGGCAACGTTATTAATGTTCAATGGCTTTAAACGGCCAAAACGGAAGATGCCGAACGGCTAAGCGGGAAAATAGTTTGGAAAATGAACCGTCAAGAGCAAAACCGTCAATTATTTTTAAACGGCTCCGTCCTAAAGTTAATAGAATTAATTATCTATATATATATATAGGTAGCTCGTTTCGAGTAAGGTTGCGCTGTACATGACTTTAAGCGTTTTCAATTTGAAAAACGCGTGAAAATGGTTTGCAATGGTAAAAGACAGAGCTCGCAATTGCTGAACCCGTTGAAATAAATAACGAATAATACCTTTCAATAAATTTCGTTAAGATTGTATCTTAGAAATATGTAAGTATAAAAAGTAATAAGTGATGTAAATGCACTCGTGGTCTCTTCGAAGTAGATTTACTTTAGTGAAAAACGAATTTCTAAGGTAAGGTAATTTCTAATAATTGTATATAAAAATACACTCTTAATCATTATACTACTCGTGGAATTCGCTTGTTATTTTAGGTAATTAATTCACAAGGTAAAGGAATTTTTCATGGAATAAAACGATTTTTTTAACGAATCCCCGATTCAGATAAAATGTAAAAGAAAAAACTAGTTGCAGGTATTTGATTCAATTTTTTATAACCTATCTAAACCGTTCGTAAACATACACTTTTCAGATTAAAAGATTGTACTTAAAGTAAAACGCAAAAATAAAATTGAATTTCATAAATAAATGAACAAATGAACATAAGTGATTTTATTTTCCAACACAGTCCATGCATTTAGTTTACTAGTACAAGCATTATTTTATAGATGATATCATACAATGAGTAGTCTAACTGATTATTTTGGCAAACAATTATTTCAATGAGTAGTATATTATCAACATATGGCTAATTTGTAAAATCCCTAAAACGAGTTAAAAGCATTTCTTAATTATAATTTATTAAAGCGAGTTTTAATTGAGCAAGTATTAAATAATTGTCTGTTATCTCATCAGTCAGTATAATCTACACCGAACGTTTCGATTTAAGCGGATTTGACACTAATACAAATTACAATACAAAAACAATTAATATTACAAATGCATATTCTACATGAACGTGGTGATATTATTCGTTTACTATTCGATGGAGATATTTTTTAACAGATTTCCAGGAAACGTATTACTGACAATAGGATTATTGGATCGAAAGCCAAATATATTTCGTTCGGACGCACATAACCGTACAGGTTAGAGTGCAGGTGGCGTAAAATAGTTTAAACGACTTTCCAACTGTCGAGTATGATTATTTATGAGACTGTGAAGTTTTCATTTATGTTTAATGACATAATATTAATTACACATTAAACACTTTCGCGAAACTTTATGAAATTATTTTGAGACATCGCTATAGGTAAATGTGTATGCGACGACGCTGGGGGGCGTACATACAGTTAACATACTTACAGTAATATAATGTCGAACTAGTAACACGGCTGAGCGTCGCCTTTGAAACGTCCACCAAACTCTTCTCAGAGAAACTCGACTTACGTGCAAGTATCTGTTTACGTTTAACTTTCATAATATACCCTCCGAAATGTACACTTGAATTAACATTGTTTTGAATCGTTAAGAGCCCGGAACGTACGGAACAGTCTATGTATACAAATAGATCTATGCTGCGATTCATTAATCATCATTGCCGTGCTGTTGTATTTCGAAGCAAGGCGGCTCCGAGTAGCTATAAAATTCAAATTAAATGCCAACATAAAGTAGGTAAATACAACCAACTAAACCCATTACGGAATAAATTATTTAAACGAAAATATTCGCGTCCTTAGGAGACCTTATAGGAGTTGCGGAGTGAAATCATTTTCGAAATTGAGTTTTATTTTTTCATCATTATTATTAACATAGAAAGTTTAGCGCTGGATCGAACGGCTTATAAAATAAGCCTAAATAAAATAATTTTACAGCGAGTTATAGAAAGTAACTTGTAAAGCCTGTTTATTTACGGAAAACTTATTTTGGCCATCTTAATTTTTCTCGCGCTTTCTTAAAAGTTGATCCGCATCGCGTGTCCACTGAGTCGGATAACGACAAAAAATGGATTAGATAAAGCGAACTGTCATGGCTATATCATTTGTCAGCTCAATAAAATCGATATTCACGAACAGGATCAGTAGAGTTAGCGGAACTCATTAGATGATCAAGAAATGATCTGACGCCTTATGTTAACGTCTGCGAATCATATTTACTTAAATAATATCTAAATGTGTTTTACTTTTATAGTAACACCATGAAGTGTGTTCATGTGCAGCCGGGAGTAACGCGTTTTAGTTTCTGCGCTGTTTATTTGATAACTTATTTAAGTCAATTGTCTGCAAATCCATTTGGTTATTATTTAGTAATTTAAATTAGCTCGCGATTAGCAAGATGGGTCTTTAATTTAATTCTGTCGGCTGTGGTCCATCCAATCCATACATCCAACATTTCACTTTTCTCGCCATTGCTTTTTCAGAATGTAAACCTTCGATGAGGATAAAAACTTTAATACACTTTAAAGTATACAACATAAACACTCTTGTCACTTTAGAGTATTTTGATTCTCACAGTTTGCAAACCGGAAAATTTATATACAATTCGATACTATAAAAGTAAAACACATAAAACAGCTTATTTACGAAATCTATTACATCGCGTTCTTCGACAGTTATGTTTTCGCGTTTTAAATGTCTTGAAAAAATAATTTACTTATGTCATAGATTAAATATGTAGAATAATTATTATTATAACCAATGCTTATACTAAAAATTAATTTGTTTTGTATGTTAGCTGATAGAAATTTTGCTCTATTAAAGTTTATTTTTAATAGTTCACAATCAAGGAAAACAGATACGCGCTTATAGCTATATATGGTGTTTGCGAATGTATGCGGTGCTTGTAGGAGAAAGCTTGGAAGAAATTTGTCAGAAAGACATGAATAGTGGTATAATGAAAAATCGGTGTTAAGGACATGAGAACTTTGAGTTAGATGTATATGGTGTGATGACTAGAATGGACAAAATAAATAATTAGTTGTATTTATAAAATTAAAAAACTAAGTGTGATGTGTATCCTATATAATTATTTCTTTTTTATTTATGATAACCATAATAAGTCGTCATATATAATTTATTATATATGTATGATAATAGTATATTATAATTTAGTCTGAACTATAAGCAAAAAGTCTGCCCTCCCATCTACCTCAACAATGTACCTCTCCCAACCGCCCAAAATGTCCGATACCTAGGTTTACATCTAGACCGCAGGCTAACTTGGGCAACCCATACCCATAACAAAAGACTTGCCTTAAATAACCGCTCTCGCCAATTACGGTATCTCCTCACGTCACAACATATCAACCTAAAAAACAAGCTCCTACTATATAAACTCCTACTCAAACCGATCTGGACTTACGGTATCCAACTGTGGGGTGCAGCCAAACCGTCCAACCTAAATAAAATACAAGTCTTCCAATCAAAATGTCTACGCCAAATAACCAAAGCTCCTTACTATGTTTCTAACGACACTCTACATAGAGATCTAGCCATTTCGAGAGTCCAAAACGTTGCAAAAACTTTCTACAAACGCACACACTCCAAATTCCTCAGCCATCGTAATCCCTCGATTTCCGAACTATCCACCAACGCAATTCCTGGTGACCCCAGAAGGCGACTTAAACGTACCTGGTGTCGTGATCTACTAAATTAAAATATGTATATACCTCTACTTCCCCTTAATTTTGTATTCAATCTCATTATCTCACAATAGCACATTTAAAATAAACTCCTACCCTTAAGTGCCTCCAATGGGTGGCTTCTTTTCTCCTGCCTCAAGCCATGTCTCCTCCATCACATACGCTTATTGTAAAATAATAATTACAGATCGTGTATTTTAATAATAAATGTTAAAAAAAAAGTCTGAACTATAGATATTTGTGTGTCGTTGACCTATCATCTTAAGCCATAATGTTCAAGTTTAAACCGAGGACGGTACTCACCGGATACGTTGAGTTTGAGTTGTCCGTCCGAGTATTCGCCCACTTTGATCCATTTGTAAGTACCCGGGTCGACTTTTTTAAAGTGTATGATGTTGTAGCGAGCCGGGCCGTCTCCATTTTCGTCAAAATGGAAATTGTCGCCGGTCAGACCTGTAACGATAAAAACAATCTCAGGGCTTGTTGAGTGCATCCAGAGGCGCCTAAGTATTGAATACACAAGTGTGGCACGTCTCATCGCGTTGCGACCAACAATGGCCGGCCAAAAGGGAACAAAAGTACATTATCGAGTAATGGCCGACACGGTGACGTGTGTGCCTTTGTTAATGGTACCGCGGTATAATAATTTTAGCAAAGGATAAAAAACACATCCGTGTAGTTCGTTAAATTGTTTTAGGGTATTTCGTGTTTCTATACAAAGAGCGAGTGAGGGATTGCAGCGGGCAGAGGGATTGCATCCGTAAGGAAAAAAAAGTGAATAGAACACGATTAGAGAAAAAAAACAGCCATGTCTAATCTACAAAAAACGCAACACGCACGTACGAGAAAAAAAAAGCAGTGTAAAAGAAGAGAATTAATTACTATTTTTTTAGCTTCGATGTTTTCGATTTTTAATAAGTTTAAATATTAAACGAGTTATTTTTTAAACTGTACGATTAGTATCTCTAAACCCTATCAGCGTTGACCATTATATTAGTTTAGAGACTTTTGCTGGTCCAATATACCAACTGACTTGACATTTAATTAAAATATAAATATTTATAAACACTTGGAACTTTAATGACATTATTCTCATGAGATAGACTGTTTGTTATGAATATATATTTAACTATATAATTTTGCATTGTCAAGATAAAATGAGATCAGTTGAATGTTTAATACTTCCTCTTTGCCAAACAAGTATGATTTGTTTGTGATTAACTTTATTTTATCCAAAAAATAAGCATAATTTATGGAACCATACGATTTTAAAAAACATACAAATTATTTGAAAATTAATACTCAACATAATAAAAATTAACATTCTACTCAAAAATGCATATTTTAATTTATTTTCTCCCTTCTGTCCAAATACCACAGAATTTAAGGGAAAAAATTAACATTGATATAGACTAACAGAATATATTATACAAATAGTGTCAAACTTGAATATCTGTCTAAAGTATATTGAGGTAAGGTTATTAGTCAAGGTAAATTACTAAATTACTAATTACTTAAGTTGAATTATAGCATAGGTTGATTTTTTTTTTTTATGAATATACCACAAGTAACGAGTAAGTTTAAACAAAAACTCACATACATTACCGTCTAAAAATTGAAATTAAAACAATTCAAAGGTTGTATACAAAAAAAAGTTGAATGACAAAAAACAAATGAGGGTCAACTGCTGTCGATAGGCCTCGTCGTGTAATAAATAGCTTACTTGGCAACCTTGCGAGGTACATAATATGGTAAGTGGAGTAAAAAAAAAAGAGTGTTCTAATGAAATTGATTTTTTACAATCCCGTTGTATATTATAATAAATTATAAGTAATCCATTATCCATGCGACTTAGTATCGCCCGGTTCGAACCCGTTAAACGTGCGAAATTTATATTCCTTAATAATCAACGCACATGGTAACTCTACCGTGCATAATTAATTCACTGTACGCTGTGTAATTTTCTAGAGCATATTATACATATATATGTAATACCATAACGTTACTCACACATTACTAACCCGCACCGTGCCAGGGTGGTGTTATAAGTTGAAATCTAAAACGCCTAAAATATTGTTTGTTTTGATACTTGTCTTGTTCATACCCATAAAACTATATTTTTTTAGTTTTTCGATGACGTCTATTCGTTAAGTTTGTAGTTTAATATTTTATTTTTAAGTGGAATCTAGCGTGAACCTGCCTCTCATGCCAATCACTGTCTTGTATTATTAGAAAATGCGGTTATTGTGCGACACTGTAGAGATTGTAAATACTATTTAAAAGTCAATAAAAGTTATTATATTTCAATATTTTCTGTTGTAGGCGAACCAATTTTTACGTCGACCATGCATGAAAGTTTCAACTAAAACAAGTATATATTGAATTTCGCTGTGCTGATCAAGTTAGGATTACACAATATCTAAAAAATTATACTTTCCTAATCATCGCAGTGCTCATTGATATACTTTAATCATAAACTGTTGACTCGTTTTGTATACGGTAGGATGGAAATTACTCAATACTTAAGTGATTTGAGAATAGAAATCGGTGTTAACCATATGTATATGATGACAAATAGAGAATGCCGTAACACCGGGTTTTGGCACACCTATAAATTACAATCTGATAAACAATAAAATGTCTTGTGATAAATCGTATTATTTTCACCGTGATGCGTACGGGTACATGTACTTTTATACTTTATTTATCTATAAATCACTTCAGCGAACACATTCACAGAGGATTATTATCACACGTACAGCATACACACGTCTTGCTTTATATCCACAAGTTTGAATTTTGTATTAGAATCGTAAGTTGCATGCAGACGCATAAAAAATAAAACGCACGAATACTTAAACGAAAAAAAAAAAACGCAAAAAATCATATTCTCGTCACGAAATCCAAAATGTGATTTGCATTTTTAGGTCATCTTCCGGTCCCCGGTCGCATCTTGTTCCTCGTCGAAACGGTTTGCAAATTTTGTGTCCCCCAATTTATTCGTTGTACCCATAGGCTAAACATATAGTAGCTATATAGACATCCAATTATTTAAATTTAATAAAATCAAATTACCGGTCGATATAACCGTATTGTTGTTGTCGGTATTACGGTGGGATATTAAAGTATTTTGAGTTCGGTTTGTGCATACCATTTCATGTATACTTAAACGAAGCGGGGTAGGGAAAAGATATTTTTTTGGAAATCTTGACTTCAAACGTTACCAAGGCCGAATTAAAAAAACCACAAACCTACATATCTAAGGTATCGGTAGAAAATTGCGTTAAGTTCAATAGTTAAAAAAAAAATCATTATAATAATATAACTTAGTAAAACTTGTGAGTTTGGTCCCGTTAGTATAATGCCGTGTCTGGGGTCATTGATTTTCGTTTATTAAACCATTGTTGTATGAGTGGCGCATAAACACTGTTTTAATGTGGTTTTCCCATTGTTTTCGAATCGTTTTGGCCGCTCCACCGAATACTGCCGTAAACCGCAGTACAAGTCGGTTTCAGCTTTTATTAATGAGACGATTATTATTATTATTATTACTATTATAAACATTTGTATTATGAAAATGTTTGCGTGGTCGCGTCGCAAACCGTTAATGTCAACATTTTAAATAAACACCAGTTGTATTCATCCAATATATATGTTTATATTTAACAATCGAGAAATAACAAAACGAAACGGTCAGTTTTTACATTAATAATTGTATCCCTTTTAAGTGTTCTTGTTAATATTATTTTTTTTTTTTATTTGTCAATTGTTTTTTGCCAAAATATTTTAAGTCTACGATACGACTTTTTTTTTACATTTTAAAAAGAAATAATCTAATTCTCAATCTAAAGTTCAATTGACTGAATAAAAATTGTTAATTTGGATGTATGTACAAAATATAATACGTCCATCTTCCAAATCTCATTGTAGCATTAGTTTTACTTATTATCAGGTATACTTTACTTAAAATGAAATAAAATACATTCTGAACTTTAGTAAATTAAGCTAAAGTAAAGTAAACTAATAATAATAGCACAAATTATACGTATACATAATTAATTAGTCTTTGATTATTGTTCAACTCGATTGTTTTTTTAAAAATAATTGTCTTAAAACAAATAATTTTAAAAAAAAATTATACATAATGAAATCATTTTTACTCATATATACACGTAAACCAGTTTTGCAACAATTATTGGCATTTTTTATTATTTTAAATTGATAATTTGTAATAATTGAGCGAAGTGAAATGTTATTACGTAATACGAAAATCGTAGATCGGATCTGGCACTACTCATACTTAAATTTTATTATGAAATGTAAATAATATTTATATATATATATAATATACGTATTTGAATATTGAAAACTGTGGTTTTTATGTGCATGAAGTCGTTAGTATTTTTTTATATTTTACATATCCTACCGTAATCGAAAACCAAAGACACTTGATCTCTGAAATAGGCAAACCCCCCATTTTGGCACCAATGCTACTCTACTATCAAAGTTAAAGTGAAAGTATAGAAACACGTGCCAAAAATAGAGGTTATAGGCAATAAATCGTATCTACAGAGAATTCGTAATCAAAGCGAACAATTTGCCTTACCTAATGTGATATTTAAATAAATGTCTGTTCACTGATACGAATAGTCTGTAAGTAGTATCTAGTAAATCTACATTAATAAATTATTTAGTTAATATATGAAACTATAGCGGTTCAATTTTAAGTACCACACTCGTAAGTACACGTTATAAATATTCGTAATAACGTTATTTCCTCGAAGGTAATCCTTGACCCAATTTGATAAGAACCACCAAGTCGATATTCCGGAAATCTCATTGCAATATATAGTTTGACAGCTGAGGGTTTAAACGGATAGAAAAAAAAACGTACTGCAGCTGTTTTACTGCAGTCTTGCCGAACAAACCATACCGAACGAAGACGCTAAATTAGAGTAGTCATAGCGAATACCGTATAAATTTCATCCGATGAAGGCTATCATAATAACAAGAATTCTGAGACAATTTTTGTCGACTTCAAATAACAGTCGCTTCGAACGTTGCATACGAAATCAACGAGCAAACATAAATAAGTCTTTCGTGTCGTTGTATTATGAATGGCCGTTCATAGCGAACAGATCAATCGACCATCAGTCAAGTCAACCTATATGTACACGTAGGCAATACGTCATTTTATTTTTTTGATACTGTTGTAAGTTTACTCAATAAAAAAAAACATAAAATCTATATTAATCGAACAGAAAAAAAAATCCCCCAAGATAACTAAGATGAGACGCAAAAATAAATATACCGAGATTGAAAAAAGTGAGTGAAAAACTGAAGCTAACAATTGCGACGATGGCCAAATACGGTGTGGACGTTATTTTGTCCTTTTAAACCACATGAGAATTTTATTTCCAGAGAGAAAAATCAATCTAACAAGTAATGTTAAA